ATAGTTGTATATAATATATGATATTTGTATTGGAAGCAGAAATTTTATAAAGTGCCGTTATGAACTACCATACATCCACAAAAGTCTCAAAAACGTCCTTTTTTAACCAACAAAACCATCAATATTATTTGTGTACCAAAAAACCAAAACTGAAAAATTTTCCTTTTTGTCCAACTCAACAAATAATTTTCCACTTCATTTACGCCCACAAGCTTAAAGTAGAATGCTAAGGAAATTTCAACACGTTCATTCACCACATACTCGGAACTATACATACATATACACCACAAACTCCACATACACTTTTTTGCCCGCATTCGTTTCAAGTTCATCTCCGCTCTCCAGCGCTGTTTTCATTCAAACACAGCACCAATATTTCGCTCTTCACTTTTTTACCTCATCTTTTTTTGCTCTGACTTTTCAGGAATTCCTTTCAGCTTCCCGTTTGCTCAGTCAGCACTTTTTTGGCAAGTCATTCGTGGCACTTCTGCCAAATCACCGGTCACATCTACGAGTACATAAATATGCTCACAAACCAAAAAATACGGCAAAATACCTGTGTGTGGCCGTTGGCCTTAGGTCTTTTGGTCGACATAATCCAATAGAAAATGTGTGAAAATGTCTTTATTAGTTTTTGTGGTTATAACGATAAGGTAAAAGGTAGCTTGTGGTTTGGTGTGACTCGACTGCGGTGGCATCGTCACCTTTTACTATACCATTCGTACTTTTAGAAGCAAAGTAAATGATGATTTCATTTTATTTTGATTTAATGAGAAATTTTCTCGTAAAATTTATGCTAAAGAGCCTCTGGCTGTGATATACGGTCGTTATATCTTTGAAATATAATTATATTAGATGAAAGCGGGTGCTCATGCAATACATTAGTGAAAACAATTTTCCATAATCCGCAGTCCAATTTTCCATTTCCGTAATCAATAAAATTTTCTCGTAAAAAACAGTCTAACAAAGATTGCCTATTTTTTGGCGCATAGAAAAAATTGCAGTCGTTGGGACATCAAACGAAGACAAATGTGGAAATCAGTTGAGGTATTGTAGACGTCAACTGTTACATTAAATCACATAGCTTTCCTCAAAAAGTCTCATGTAATTCTATTCAATATTGATTTATATTCGTTATTAGCAGCTTAGAGCTCGGCTTGATTCAGAGGGAATGAAAAAATTAGCATACTTCTATAGGCTTAACTTTAGCTTAAACCTTTGGTGTTAATTATTTGTGGCGAGCAAGTGTTTTGAATTGATACAAATTATTCAAAGAGGGTCGAGAAAGCGTTGACGACAAACCACACATCAACTGATGATCAACAACAAGCCAATAAAATAAAGGTATTAGTGCTTGAGAATCGACGAATAACAACCAGAGATCTTACTGTTATCGTTGGAATATCAAGGAAGGAACAGTAAAAACGATTTTGAAATATCATTTGGGCCTAAAAACACTGAAAATCCCTATATTTTCGAAAAACAGCGTCGCGTTAACTTCTGTGAAACAATGCTTTCCAACTCCGAGGACGTTATGAAACATATTATGACAACAAGGAACACAATTTGAGTGTTGAGCGTCGTTTGCCCTAAGCTATTCGTAAAAATAGGCCGGAATTATGGGCGGACAAAGCTAGGCCATGCACCACGATAATGACTCGTAGCATGCTGTATTGATTCTTCATGAGTTTTTCGCCAAGATTGAAAAGTACGTTGGCACAAGTGTATTGGGGCCAAGCTGACGAAGACGATATAAATTTGGAAGAATAAATTAAGAATTTTAAATTTATGTCAAAATCTTACTATTTTTAACTTATAGTAGTATTAGTATTAAATTGTGATATTCACGTCAACTTTTGAGAGTATTAAAGACTCACATGGCCAAGGTTAAAACTGCAGTCAGCAACGCTTTTCTCTTATTTGAAATATTTTTTCCACAACCCCTTTGGAAATTGTCGGAGTTGTAAAGCATTTTTTCACGCTTTTCACGCTCGACTAGCCTCATAACACTACAAAGGCCATCTTTTATGTGTGCTTTTGTTTTAAGCCGCAAAAGAATGCATATAGACATTGATAACAAGCTACCCTGTACGAATATAAGAAAGTTGAGCAATTTTGAAAGGTCAATAAAATTGCACGTTTAATAGATAAATCCGTATTAGATTCTTATATCCGTAGCAAAAATAAAACAGCTTGAAGTATTCTTAAACTATGAAATACATAGAATACATATATGTATACATATATATATAGAAGAAAAAAAAAGAAAGAGCAGACGCCATAGAAACAATTGGAAAAGACTACTATTTTTAGTAAAGCTCTAAATTTACAAATTTCTTTAGAAAGTAGTGGAATAAAAGAATTGAATCATGCTCACATAAAGCATTCACGGTTATAGTATTTTCCTATTAAAATTTTCCCTATTGGATATCTCATCAACGGATCTTTGTAAAGCATAGACGCATCTGTAATGGTTAAACAATTTGAATGCGAATGCGTTGATGACTGGTATTTGCAGCCACGAAATGAAATACCTTTGGTGGTTTGTTTTGTGAGAATGTGCAGGATTTCACAAGTGTATATAACTATATACATATGAATAACAGCAAATATTTCACCATTTTCATGGTTTTTGAAGTTGGAAATTTGCAGCTTTTAATGACTAAAAGTGGCATTGAAGCTAACACAGATTTCTTTAGATCATTTTCATTTACGGATTAAAAAAACAACACAGAGGATTTTTCCATGGTGAAGAGGTTATATACATATATTAACTCGCAAGCCACAAAAAAACACGATTTTTGTAATTTTTTTTGAAAAATTTTGGGTTCCCTTAAGACCGTAAGTAACTTCGACGGTGAGGAACAATTTTCAGCTTCGAACTAACTCTAATCCAAAAAACAAAAACATTTATGGTTGCAATAGATGAAAAAATCGTTTTGAGAAAAACGCAATTAAAATTTTGTAGCCGATTACGCTAAGTAAAATTTTTTTTACAAATAAGTTCCTATGGCCGAAACTATTTGCCTAATCAACTTAAAATTTTCGGAGAATATTTTCAAATATATGTGACCTGGTCTACGAAAAGGGAGCTAACGTGCGAAAACTAGTTTTCTATCACGTGAAAAAGCATCTCATCTTCCATCCGAATCAAACTAAAAAGTGAAAATTAATTTTTGACACCTAACCCCTTTCCGTAGACCAGGTCACATATATAGAAAAAAATTCAAACGATTTTTTTTTAAATTCCCAAGTGGAAAATAACTTCTTAAAAGATATAATCCGGCTAGGTTTCGGTTATAATCCGGTTTGGTTTCGGTTATAATCCTGGTCTGTGCCAGTTATAATCTGGGTCTGTTCCGGTTATAATCCGGATATGTTTCGGCTATGTTAACAGGTAATGTAGTTATATAAAATTCAAAAAAAAAAAAGAAAAACGTTTGCAGTTATTTCTATGCCGTCCAAATCTTACTTTAAAGGCTGTTGAGGTTCTGTGGTAATCGAAAAAAGACACAGAATGAGCACCTATCAAAGGTCCAAATATTTGCAAAAGTCTTCATATTATTCGAAACACATAAATAATAAATTTTTACAAAGGTGCAAGGCAAGGTTTATTTTTTAATCAACAGAAAAAATCATCAACTTCTGTTACACCGAGGCTATAATACCCTTCACAAGTGCATTTGTTAAATCAGATAAATTTATACACATTTTTTCTAGATTTTTATCGAATTTTAGAAATCAAATAATAAAATAAAATAACTTAAATATAATAAATTTATAAAAACAAAATATTTAAAAAAATCAAAGATAATAAATAAATATATATAAAAAGTATTAAAAATTTTATTCCAAATAAATACCAAATTTAATATCAAAAAACCACTCCTACCAAGTTTATTTTACCAACTTTCCAAATTATGCAGCAACCAAAATAGTTTCGGAAATATTTCGAAATATTAAGTGTCTTATAAATCATATGCCGCACATGCGTACCTATCATAGCATAATAATGACTTTATATGCTGCAATATCAACCAAAAGCAAATGCATGAAAAGTGCAAGCAAAAAAGTACAATATTTTAACGGTTTCACACCTGCTACGCCATTTTAATATTGCATGCATTTTAAGTGTTGCAATCCATTTTACGCCTGCATACATATGTATGAGCGTGTGCATGTAATTGTGGAAAGGAAATATTTTTATTAACACGCCGCCATTATGGTGAACTAAAATGCGTGAAGTTTTACGACGCCAAGAAAAAACGGAATTTATGTAAGTGCATACAGACATATGTATGTATGTACTCGTTAATCTACAAATAGGCAGGTTTATAGCAAAAATACGAATTTGAAAAAATGATTGGATATGCTTACGTATATATATTTATATACATATTTGTGGTATGGAAAAATAATTTTCAACATATTTATTTTCATTAATTTATTCGACGGACATTGGAAAAAATTTATAGTATTACATAAAAAATTACTCTATTTAAATATGTAACCGAGTCAGGTTACATATGTTTATAGGGATGTACAGTAATGGTTTTTTCTATACAATAATTTTTCTCCAACACAAAAATATGCCTGAAAGTGAACATAAGTTAATTTAAATTTATGCAAAAATTTTACTTTTTTAGGTTATATTTAAATCCTATAGCTGATTTACAGCTGTTGTAAAAAACGTCAACTTCGGCTACACCGAAGCTATAATACCCTCGACATGTCCATTTGTTATAGCAAAAAAGTTTAAACTCATTTTATCTCGATTTTTGTCGATCACTTTGTATGACTGCTATATGCTATAGTGGTCCGATCTGAATAATATCTTTGCGGAATACACAGTTGTTTTGGGCAACATTCCATGTTAAATTTTGTTAAAATATCTTTTGAAATAAAAAAGTTTTTCATACGATGTCTTGAATGTAAGCAGTCGGTTTATTTCATAAAACCACACATATTAATCATATTACTTATTTTCTTGTTCATTGCAGCCACTGAAATTCGCTGCCAGGAGAAATCGCGTGGCGGTCTTAGCTATGAAGTGATTCTGGCCGAACCAGCACCCAATGTGGTAGTACCCAAGCGTCCAGTGACACCTGGTAAAAATGTGTCAGCCGAGGAGATCGAGCAAAAGCTGAAAGCTGCCGAAGAGCGACGCATTGTAAGTAAACAACAGTGAGACTACTTTAACATATTTCAAAAAATGAATGGGATTGCCAATTTTTATTTAAAAAAAATTTGGTTAAAAAGTAAAGTTTCACTTTTGAATTTTGAAAAATTTATTTTTAAACTTTTAAATTTTTTTCGGTGTTAGGGATTATTTTTTTTTTCCATTTAGAAATTCGAAAATTATTTTTAATTAATTTTTAATTTTTTTTATTTTTTTATTAAGACGAAATAAAAAAGAATTATAATTTAAATCTTAAATAAACCACTTTTTATGTGATTATTTGCAAAATTTAAACAATAATTTAACTTGCATTTCTTCTTCAACAGTCTTTGGAGCAAAAGAAAATGGCCGATTTATCCTACAAACTGTCGAAAATCGAGGAAGCCACACGCAAAAAGGATGAAATCGCCAATGAGTTCATCAATCAGACCAAGGAGAAGTTGGAAACTAAAATCGAACAGCATGTTGAGAAGCGCGAAGCCATTATTAGCGACATGAAGGAGAAATTGAAGGTGAGTGTGGTGCAAACATATTTACTTTTATTTATTTATTTTTTTTTTATTCAAAATTACTTGATCACAGATTCACTCACAAGAAATTGAGAAGACACGCGAACAATTGGAACAGCAGAAATCTATTGAGAAAGTGGCCATTGAGGAGAAATTGAAAACAGCTCAAACTTTGCGAGATGAGAACATCAAAAAGATGCTGGAACGTCTTAAGGAGCATGTAAGCGCTTTTAAGAAATTAAAAATTGTTCTCAAAATTAGTTTGAAACTTTTTCAACTCACAATTCCTTTTCGCCAACATTCTCACCAACTCCAACAACAAGAAACCCACTCACCAACAAAAGCAAAATTATATAGATTTCATATACATACATACATACACATGTAGATATGTGTTCCAAAAATATATTTACTATAATGTATGTACCGTTATAGCTATGTACAGTTTTGTTTGAAATTTTTGAAATATAAATACTATATATGTACATATATGTAACTGTATTTAGCGGTTTTTAACAAATTACCAACTTAAGCGATTGTAGCATTTTTGTATTTTGCTCAATTTTTATAATTAATTTTGACTTAGTTTTGTATTGTAAACAACCTGAATTGCACATTACACAGAATGCAACGCGGCATGTTGCGCCGAACTTGAATGCGCGTCCTACATAAACAATAAATAATTTTGAAGCAGCAAGCAGCCCCTGCATTTCTTCAACATTTTTTTATATTAAAAATATTTTTTATTTAATTAAATTTTTTTAACAAAAACTTTTTTGTGCCACTAAAATCCAAACACTGGTGCATTTTGAAAATCCACCTTTCTGTCTCTCTTTCACACTCACTTTCTCTCTAATTGTCTGAGTACTTTTGTTGCAAATACTAACTAATTTTTTATAATGAAAGAAAAAATAAAATTCCGTTTAACAAAAAAAACATGTTTTTACAAAAATAA